AGGTCAGAGAGGGCGAGAGTCGAAGCACAAGGCGAAGTACCAGAAGCTGTGTAGCGCGAAGGAGGGAAAGATGTGGAGGAAGAGAACAACCGAACATGGCGGATGGGAGGAAATATCCAGTGAACTTTTGGACGATAGCGAACAAAAGAAAAGTCAAGATGCTCCTGACCACGTTTCTGCTCTTCCCATGCTGCTCTAACAGAACTCGAGCATGCATTGTGCGTCTCCTCCCCCCCAGCTGATTTGTTTTCGCAGGATGATCCAGTAGCTTCCACCAAGGCTTCACCTCACCTTGACCCCCGTCATCATCACCCTCATCCCACGATGGCCCCCAAGGCCGGAGAGCTGGGCGGAGAGCCTGGGTCCGAGGATGTCCCGCATCGCATGCATGGCCGAGAGCCCATGCTGAGCAGCTACCAGAGGAGGGTCCGGCTCAACAACGGGATCAGCAGCAGGAGCAGGAGCAGCAACCGGATCAGGAGGCTGAGCAACCGCAGTCGCAGGAGCAGGAGCAGGAGCAGGAGCAGGAGCAGGAGCCGGAGCAGGAGCAGGAGCAGGAGCAGGAGGGGGGAAAGGGGGGGGGCAATCTACCCCTTGAGATCTACATGTACATCATTGAGTATTCATTCACCATCATTGAAAATTTAACCATGTGACCGACCTTGTTTTACATCTTAACCTTTCCATCGTCATCCCCTCCCCTCCCCTTCACCTGCTTACATTTCGTTCTCCCCTACCAACTTCTTCACCGCCTCCCCCATCCTGACCTCGTTTCTCCCCGCACACGCCTGCAGCCGCCTCGCCTCCTCCATCGCCTCTCCCTTCAGCTGGTATCGCTGCTGGAGCCTTCCTATCGCTCCAGCTACACACCCTCCCATGGCGATGCCGACGGTGGCATGCAGATCAACCTTCTTCTCCCTCGCCACCTCCATGACCTCCGCCACCATCCTCCTCCCCATCGTCTCCATCCTCTTGCACATGCTCTGCTCCTCCCCCGGCTTCGCCCAGGCGGCACAGCTGTACGTCTCGTTGTGCGAGTCAACCTTGAAGGCAGCTCGGAAGGAGGAGGCGACGCTGTCGAGGCGGGAGAAGAGGAGGTGAAAGAGCTCAGCTGCCTGCAAGGGGGTCAGCTGGGCAGTCAGCTGGGAGAAACAGGAGATGTCGAGGACGAGGACGACGGCCCTGCGGAGTCTGGTGGTGATCCTTCCTGTGCTGACGATCTCGTGCGCGATGTCGGGAGGGAACAGGTCGTTGAGGATGTGCAGGATGGCCTTGTTCTCTGCGCTGATCAGCTGGGACGCGCTCCACTGCTCCCTCTCCACCCAGTTGAACTCCTTGAGCGCCCTGTTGCTCATGTAGAGGACGAAGTAGGTGAAGATGATGGCGACAAGGGACATGCCGGGGATCCAGCAGTAGATCAGCACAACGGTCAGCCCGGTCGTGATCAGCATGATGATGGTGTGCTCCTTCAGCTGGCACCCAGCTTGGAGGAGGTTGCTGGCACTGAACACCGGGAAGAAGAGGAGGCAAGATCCCGTCGTGTTGATCCAGATGCCGCAGAGGACCAGAGCTGCGAGGAAGACGAAGTTGCAGAGGACGAGAGCGCGTTGCCAGAACACAACACACGAGTGGAGGCTCGCGGCAGTCTTGACCGACCCGGAGTGGAAGAAGCGGAGGTGGCTGAAGTAGGCCACGAGGCCGCAGAGAAGAATCATCAGCTGAACAGAAAAGCCCGCAAACTGCATGAAGGAGATCCTCCAGCTGACGTGGCGGTACTCCTCCACCTGCAAGATCCTGAGGTCCTTGAGGGCGTGAAGAGAGGAGAGGAAGACAACGCTGTTGCAGAAGATGCCGATGAGGGTGCGGGTGAACACGTTCATGGCTCGGCTCTCCAGGAAGCTCGCCTCCGTTGCCACGTCGGCGAACTCGCACCAGGTCGAGTTGACGTGATGGAGGGCCTCCCTGCTCCTCTTGCTTTTCTCGACAAGGTCCTCCTCTTGATCCTCCTGCAAGAAAATCCTCCAGGTCGTGTTGGAGTTGCTGGCATCCGACACGCTTGTTTCTGCATCCATCGCGTTTCCCGACGATGTCGTGGCGTTGGAGGCGCTGGAGGCGGTCTGCAGCGACATGGGGTGCTCCTCCTCTCGGCGAGGGATGTTGGAGGTCGAGGAGGAGTACAGCGACTCAGGATCCAGGTCCAGCGAGTTCTCCTCGTCCACCTCCACAAAGTACGCCGACCCCAGCTGGCTCTCACCAGCCTCACTCCTGTGATAGATGAGGCAGGTGCTCACGTCCTTCCTGAGGATTTCCACCAGCTGCTCTGAGCAGAGGATCCGCCCCGCCTCGCTCGCGTCGCAGAGCCTCCGACAGTCATGGATAGTGCTGCCGAACAGCGAGTAGAACCTCCTCTGGTGGCCGATCACCGCACCCGCCACCTCCCCCACATGGATCCCGACCTTGGCCCATAGCACCTCTCCCGACGGGGAGCGGTAGAGCTTCGAGCGCTCGATCAGCTGCTGAGCAAGGATGATCATCTTCTTGGCCGAGATCGACACGTACGCCGCATGGTTGACAGGGGCCTGGAAGGGACACGCAGCACGCGGACAAGCCACGACGTAGACGTCCTCTGAGTGGTAGTGTTTGAACATGCCGAAGGCGTCGACGAGCGAGTCGAAGTCCGAGAAGACCTTGTCGACGAGGTTGAACACGTCGTGAGGCCGCCGTGACACGTCCTCCGATGCCGCGGGAGAGATCCTGAGGTGCATGATAGTGCAGTGATCCATCGTGTTGCCGACAAACAGCTTCTGCTTCTCATGCTTCAACTTGGTGTGTAGGGACCTCGGGATCATGGTGCAGAGCAGCTGGAGGGTCTGCGCCGTCGAAGCCTTCAGGCCCTTCTCGCGCATGAACCGCTCTCGAGCCGCACTGATCCTCGAGTTGCAGATCAGGATGTTTGCGAGGGTGAAGGTGCCAAGCAGAACAACCACGTGCACCATCGAGCCCAGCTCATGGCCAACACACAGTCCACTCAGCACGTACGACAAGACCTCCGTCACGCACAGCCATGCGGCCGACTGGCCATCGATCCCCGCCGTCAGGGGGATGAAAAATCCGACGAAGAGGAAGACAGAAATGCTTTCGTTGGTCAGCAGTCGACTTGTACATTGCGCGTCCTCAAAGGAGAACACAGTATGGTGCTTCCAAGCTGTGTCCACTGGGTTGGAGTCCGAGCAGCTCCAAGTCCAAGGGACGCCATGCAAGTAGTCAATCGTCATGTTCACGTGCGGAGAGAGCATCATGGGGGTCTCAGATCTCCGGAGGTCCGCTATGGTTTTCCGAGCGATCTCCAACATGAACGCCAGGGTGTTCCAGACTGTGAAGAGGATGTCTTTGTTTCTGCTGCGGTTGACGTAAGGCTCAAAGGACGGCAAGGCCAGCCCTGCAAAGAATAAAATACAGAGGATCGAATTGGCGGAAAACAAGAATGCTTGTGCAAGACAGAGAAAACTCTGTGCTCGACATTCGGCACTTAACAGCAAGCTCACTGCAAACATACTATATGTACACGAGGTACCAAGCATGATCCTTTCAATGGTCTTCTTGTGGTACCTGTTGTACTGCAGTCGAAACGCAAGCTCGTCTGCCTCCTCGCACAGTAGAGGGATGCCGTGGTTGGCAAAGACCTGATCCCTTTGCCGCATTGTTGACAAGGTGATCAGAGGTTCAAGCTAACGGGCGATGCAAGCGTCTCAGCAGCGTGCATGAATTTGATTGGAAAGCTGTCAAGGAATTAATCCAAAGCTCGTCCATGGACCGGCATCTGTTGAGATTCGAGTTAGTCCCGCCTGCTGATCTGCCCAGGGCGGGAGGAAATGCCAGCAGCAGAAGTTGGGATTGGATCACAGGCTCAGCGGCCTTTGTGCTGGTGCTGAGAGTGGGAGAAGGAGAGTCGATTAGCCTTCGTGCAGGGTTTGGCTCGTTAAGAAGTGAATCCAGTGGCACTCTGAGCAGATGGGAAATACGCGTGCAAGCAATTATGAAGGAGAGGGAGGGAGGGAGATAGGGACGAAGATAGGGAGGGACGAGGGAGGGAGGGAGACAGGGAGGGAGGGAGACAGGGAGGGAGCAGAGAGGGAGACAGGGAGGGAGTAGAGAGGGAGACAGGGAGGGAGACAGGGAGGGAGACAGGGAGGGAGTAGAGAGGGAGACAGGGAGGGGAGACAGGGAGGGAGTAGAGAGGGAGACAGGGAGGGAGGGAGGGAGGGAGACAGGGAAGGAGTAGAGAGGGAGGGAGACAGGGAGGGAGACAGGGAGGGAGATAGGGGAGGGAGATTGGGTTGGGGAGGAGGGGAGGAGGGGAGGAGGGGGAGGAGGGGAGGGAGGGAGGGAGAGGAGCAGCAGGGGTAGCAGGGGGGGGGGAATGGGATGGACGCTGATAGAATTAGCAGGTCCGCGGTCATCGGAATGTTTGGGGTCGAAAAGAGGGGTGGGGGTGATGATAGTACCGGTATTTTCTATAATTGATAACCTGACTATGGTAGGGTACTGAAAATATTGCATGGGTCATGCTTTCTCTGGGTCTGGACCCACCCTATTTATAACTTTCTACCCCCCCAGCTTCTTGTCTACCCACCCCAATTCATTACCACCCACCCCTCGGTGATCCGGAAATTCCCCGTGAACACTACCACCCCCTAGATTGACCTATAGGACCCCTCATCTCAAGATCAAACTCCTCCCTCATCTAAATTATCTTTTACACCACCCCCCCTGCGCACCTTTTGCACCACAGATGCACCACCCCTAGCAATCTTCATCTAGAATTTCCATTTGGTGTACCTACTACCCCACCACTCCTCTGATTTTACTACCAAAGTACCCCTAGATAACTAACCCTACCCATGTCACAATCAAAAAGGCATCGTCTGACACTACCCCCGCACCCCAGAAGTCACCAAAAGTACCCCACCACCCGACACTTTCCAGCTATGGTTTACTACTGAAAGAGTCGCGTACGGTTCCTGCATAAGTGGAATCGAGTGTTTTCGAATATTACTACACGAACCATGGGAAATTTCATTTGAGGTGGGCGGATGTGGGGAAGAGGGGACCCGAAGGATATGAGGGCGATGATGTATGTTGATGGGGATGAGGGCCGCTTCTTAGGGGATGGCAGAGCGAGCGTAGGCGTGGAGGAGCAGGGAATGGGAGCAGGAGAAGCTGATCAGGGACAGAGACAGATTGAGGACAGGGAATGAGCACAGGAGCTGAAGAAGGACCAGGGTAAGGAACAGAATAAGCAGGAGGCAGGAGTGAATGTGTGCATGATAGAAGCGATTTAGGCAGCAGATATCGATCAACTTTCTACTTTCCTCTCTCCTCCCGTGCTCTCTAGCACGCCTTCGACTCGTTTTTGCCCAGCGCTGCCATGAGGACCGAGGGTCACGCGGGTGGTTCAGAAGCTGCGCTGGGCTAGGCGCTGGTTGTGCGGAACAACCTGAGCACCAGTGGAGAGTAACTTGAGGCCATGGAGACTGTGAGGAGGAAGAAGTCCGACGTGACTCGGATCTTCTGGCCCAAGGAGAGCGCAGAGCAGGGAATGGGGCTGCTGGTAGGATGGAACGTCCATTCTTTCACTGCCTGCGTCGCCCTGGTCGTAAGGGACGTGCACCTGTCTCTGTTGAGCAAGGCGTTGCTGGTCATGGCGCGCTCCTCCCGTTACTCGCACCTCTTCTTCGAGTGTGGGGGGCCGCCAGGCCTGCTAGGGGAGTACAAGGGGGAGGGAGGGGCGAGGAGACAGTCCCACTCGATCAAGCTCATCAGGCAGACGGCAAACTTCTGGCTGACGTTGGACAAGCACCTGAACCGACCTCGGCTCTGTGACATTCACTGCTGCGGCTTCCGCTACAGCGTGTTCTCCGTCACTGCGCAGTTCATCATCTACAGCCGCCCTTGCAACTCCAGCTACTTCTCCACCATCCCGTTCGACCCTGACCTGCGCGCCGACCCCCCAACTTCCAGCATGCCTCTGACTTCGAGAAGGCGCTGATGCAGATCAACGAGTCCTTCCTGGTTGAGCAGGTTGCTCCTCCTCCCCCTCCTCCAAGTCTTCCTCCTTCTCCTGGTCCTCCTCCTTCTCCTGGTCCTCCTCCTCCCCTCCTCCTCCTCCTCCTGGTCCTCCTCCTCCTGGTCCTCCTCCTCCTGGTCCTCCTCCTCCTGGTCCTCCTCCTGGTCCTCCTCCTCCTGGTCCTCCTCCTCCGTGCCTGACGCGGCCAGCAGGTGCTGACGGAAGTGATCGGGAGGCTCCAGAGCGGCTCGCTTCCCTCCCTGCTCCTGCGGGAGGTTGGGACGTGGGAGCTGGAGGCTCGGGCAGAGACAGTAGCAATGAGCCCCAACACACACGGGCTGCTGCAGTACCCGAGGGTTGAAACCATGCCCTTCAAGCAGGTCGCTCCAGGCAGCGGTGGCGGCGGTAGTGGCAGGCAGGGAAGCAGCGTCGTTATGATGCTATGGGCGCCGGTGGAGCTTCTGAACGAGCTGGCGGGGAACATCGGGTACGCAGGGGTCACCGGGATCATACACGGGATCTGCATCGCGATGCTCGTGTTCAAGCTCTGGCTGTCGCTCCTTCACCGCACCCTCGACCTTCCCATCCTCCCCTGCTGGATGCTTGCCGGTTTCGATGTGAACAGCGGGAATGTGAACAGGAAGGGAGACAACTACGTCCGTATCCGACAGATCTCCGCCCTCGGCCGACAGGTCCCCTCTCTTCCCACCACCCCGTGCCTTTCCTCCTACCCTCCTTTACCTCCCCTCGTCTCTTGCGCCATGTGTTTCCCTCGCTCCCTGTCTCAACTTGCCTCCTCTCCTTCCTCCCCTCTCTCCTTGCGGCTAGCCTGAGGACCTTCTGTCAGCTTCACCAGCGCATTGAGCTGCTCGCTGCCTCTCCTATCATGTCGCCATCTGCATGGACCCTGTTGCAGGTCACAAACGATGTGGAGGAGGAGGACGAGGACGAGGACGAGGACCAGGAGGACCAGGAGGAAGGAGGAGGAGGAGGAGGTGGTGGTGGTGGAGGAGGAGGAGGAGGAGGACCAGGAGGAGGAG